AAACAAAGCGATATAAAGGTGAGGTGGTTTCTCCCCATTGACCGAGTGGGGAACTGCTGACCTCAGCCCCCGGGCGATTGTCTTTGGCAGGATAGTGGTGCAAGTAAATGTGTTATAAGTGCAAGTAGATGGTGCACCATTGCAAGTAAAATCATTTACAAGAGTACATATTTTCACTTACAAGTGCAAGTAATTTACCTTGTTAACATTCGTGCACCTAGGTGCAACTAATTATAACGTTAGGTGCACCAAGTTATAACATTAGGTGCACTATATGAAACTGTTACTTGCACTTCTAATACATTTTACTTGCACTGTGATGTTCAATTATTTACGAAAACGCCACCACATTTTTTTTTAAAAAAATCAGTGTTTCTCATCCATTATATCTGGACACGTGAACGAATGACATGCGTTCTCATTTCTTTCCTGGGCGGGGGCAGTTCGCACCGGAACACAACCCTATATATATATATATATATATATATATATATATATATATATATATATATATATATATATATATATATATATATATATATATATATATATATATATATTATATACACTACAAAGAAATTCAAAAATAGCGATGGACCAATTCCGTCGCTAAATAAGAAAAATTCGTCGCTAAAGTGTTTAGCGATGAAATTCGTCTGTCGGAAAAACTCGTGTCACTAATATAGATTAAGGATAAAATGAGGACTTATCCTTATGTGAAGACGTGAGGACTAATCTTGTGCGTTCATTTTTTTTTTTTTTTGGATGGCCCAAAATTGATTTCCTAAGATGACATGGATTGTTTTTTTTTTTTTTTTTTTTTTTTTTTTTTTTTTTTTTTTGTTAAAGTAGGGGTTGTAGTGTATTTTTCTATTTTTTTTAAAGTGTGAACGCGTGGGTAATCCTTGGCCAACTTGGTTTCCTATTTTCTTGGATCATCACCGTTGTGATTTGGATCCGCGATTTCTTAATCATTGATCGACTGTTCGCCAATGCAAAGTGATCAGTATTTTGTTTTTTTACTCGTTCTTTTAAGTATAATATTACCTATATTTTGATGTTGGTGTATCTGTACAAATGTCTGGGTAGTATATTTGTGCATTCGTGTGTGCTGGTTGTGCAACCAAGTGTTTCTATATATATATATATATATATATATATATATATATATATATATATATATATATATATATATATATATATATATATATATATATATATATATATATATATATAGTGAAAGGTTCCCGTGCGGTTGAATGCTTCCCGTGCGGATGTGCGGTGGATTAATGTGCGTGAGATTTGTACTCAATGTGCGTGAGTGTTGTGTTTAATGTGCCTGAGATTTGTACTTAATGTGCCTGAATGTGTAAAATGCAGCAGAAAATATTGATGTCAGCTTCTTCCCCATCCCCAGTAGCCATTTGCCCCTCCGTGATGATGATGATGCGGAGGCGGGCTATGGTGGTTAAGAATTATGGGAATAATACAACAGAAATCCACACTTAACTGCTGTGCAAATTTTACTGTGCATGCGTCATTTATATAAACATTCAACTGCACTGAAGGTAGCTGATAATCCAAAATCCATGGCCAAATTGAAGGAAGAAGTAACAAGAAGCTTAGGCGTTAATGTGCGTGAGTTTCTGTTCTGCTTCCTTCTGAGCTAGTAATTCTGAAATACTCACGCACATTAAGCACAAATCTCACGCACATTAAACACAATACTCAGGCACATTAAGTACAAAACTCACGCATATTAACATGACGCACATTAAGTACAAATCTCAAGCACATTGAGTACAAATCTCACGCACATTAAGTACAAACCTCATGCACATTAATCCACCGCACATCCGCACGGGAAACCACAAATACACCTGATCCATTCCCTATATATATATATATATATATATATATATATATATATATATATATATATATATTGAGTTCCAATGCAAAGCATATCTCCGGTAAAAAATTAGGTTAAATCTAAGCCATAGATCACTGTAGATCTAACGGAGATTATCCAACGCCCCAATTTAACGTGAACGACTATGTGGGAGCTTTTTTGTCCTTTTGTTTTAACCATCTTCGACAATATCTTTGCACAATTTAACCTCTCTTTCCTAATTCTCCATGGATTCCTAATCTTCATTATTTCCTACTCTTAATTGATTTCCAATCTTGATTATTGCCTATAAAATATGCTCTGTTCATCGTTCTTTCACTGATTCAAAAACCGTATTAAATTGAAGAGCATTGGCAATTTGTCCAACAATGGAAGAATTCGATCAAGGTATTTTTCCTTCATTCAATATTTATTGTTGTTTCAAACAATTTTCTAAACACATAACATTAGGATTACGAATAATATGCACATTAAACAGTAAATATATGCGCCTTAAGGTTTCAATATAAGATCTAAATGATTTACACCTTAAATTCTAGCACTGTTACATTGGCGCACCTAAAGCCTTAAATTGGCACACCTTAAGTATTAAAATCGCGCACCCTAAACAATGAATCTACGCACTTTAAATTCTACCATTGTTACATTGGTGCACATAATGCCTTAAATCGACGCACCTTAAGGAGTCAGTTTACGCACCTAAAGATTTTAGTCTACGCACTAATGGCTTGGCAGTGTAGTCATTAAATTGACGCATCTTAAAAAGTAAAATTATGCACCTTAAATTCAATCACGCACCTTAAACAACAAAACTACGCACCTTGAACTCTACCACTGTTACATTGTCGTACCTTAAGCATTACAACTACGCACCTTAAGCAGTTACTTCACGCACCTAAAAGGTTTTAGTATACGCAGTAAGGGCTTGTCAGTGTAGTTATTAATTTGGCGCACCTTAAAAAGTAAAATTATGCACCTTAAATTCAATCACTCTTACATTGGCACACCTTATGTGTTAAATGGGCGCACCTTAAGCAGTTAGTTTATGCACCTAAAGGTTTAAGTATACAAACTAAGTACTTGACAGTCAAGTCATTAAATTAATGCACCTTAAACCTTCAAAATACGCACCTTATATACTAAAAGCACGCACCTTAAGATTTAAATCTACGCACTTAAAACTTGCAGTTGAAAATCTTAACACTTTGGTGGATAATTTAATTAACGCACATTAAGCCTTGAAACCACGCACCTTAAGGTTTAAATGCACGCACCATTAACATAATGTTTATATGTTACAGTTTCCAGTGACTTGCAATTTGGAAATAACCTCAGCTTGAATCCCAGTAACAACAACGATGGTTATACTTTGACGATATCTCCTCGAATGACACAATACTGGACTCCGCAGTGTGAAGATGAGATCAAACCATTTGTTGGAATGTCTTTTAAAACATTGGAAGCTGCCACTGAATTTTACAAAAACTATGCTGCAAAAGTTGGATTTGATACAATGTTTAGTTCTGTAGTAAAATCACGGGATGGGATGATAGTTACAAAGCATATCGTTTGCAGTAGAGAATGCTTAAAGAATTCAGGTGCTCAACATTGTCATTCCAAATCAAATGCAGATGCAGGAGAAGGATCTTCCATTCCAAAGAGGACGAGAGTTTCAAACTGAGCTGGTTGCAAAGCTAGTAGTTCCTAAAGGGGAATAGAAACATCAGTGCTGCACATAAGACATTTATTGCAGATTGTACCAAAACAAATATTGGCCCCAACAAAATGCTACAACTTGTATAAAGAAATCGTGGGGGATTACTCTGAAATTGGTGCAACAAGTGTTGACTTTAAAAACGTTAAAAGGGATATCAAAGCCTTCATATTAGTAGAGCTGTCAATACGGGCTGGCGGGGCGGAGCCCGCCAAAGCCCGCCTTTTGGCGGGGCGGGCTAAAAAGCCCGCCAAGGAAACGAGCTTAGGTAGGGGCAGCCCGCCCCGCCCCGCCCTAAGGAAACGGGCTTATTTTTTTTTTTAAGCCCCTACCTAAGCCAAGCCCGCCTAATTTTTTATTTTTATTTTTATTTTTTTTTATTTTTTTATTTTTGTGTATCATGTATTCACTATTCAATATTCATGTCATGTGTCCCTAAAATAGTAAAATCTAAATTCTAAATCTATAATATGAGTACATGACTATGTTAATAACTTAAATATTATCTACTTAATACATTTATTCATAAGTAAATATTAAATAACACAAATTAGTTCATCATGACAACGATGAGTCGATGATAAATTGATAATTGATACCATAGAGTCCAAAACATGAAAATTCAACATAATAGAGAGTTAAAAATTACAAAAGTTCATAACTACTTAACTACATAAGTTCATAAATTCAAATTACTTAACTACATAAGTTCATAAATCATAAGTCCATTACATCATTCCAATATTCCAAATATTCCAACATTCACATCCTCTTCAATCTTCAATCTTCATCTTCATTTTCATCATTTTCATCAACAAGATTTACAACATTTGAATCTTCAAAGGACAAATTTGATGTTGAACTTGAACTTTCTTCAGTATCTACATAAAAATTCAACATAATAGAGAGTTAAAAATTAAATTACTATACACCAAAATATCAACTACCTAAAATATAATCAAATATTTCATTATTTTGTAAACAAATATAATAACTTACCAATAGCATAGCCATGCAACCAATTTCTAGTGCAAATAAGTGCTTGCACTTTTTCAGGCAAAGTACAACTCCTATACTTGATGAGCACACGAGCACCAATAGAGAATGCCGATTCCGATGCAACAGTAGTAATTGGGATAGCCAAAACATCTCGTGCCATCAATGCAAGTGCAGGATATCTATGCATACGTTCTTTCCAATAATCCAAGATATTCAAATCCTCATAGTATGCATATTCAAGTTTTGGCTCCTCCAAATAAATTTCCAATTCTGACTTTCCAACCGTCTTCACAGTTTGACTATCATACATTTTAATTGCGTACATTAGTTAGAACTTAGAAATTAAAATTTAAAACATTAAACATGTTATCACAATCACAAATGCAAACTTAAAATACTTACTTCAAATGCTCTTTTTCTTTGACTTTTACCTAAACTTCCACTTTGCATACTTGAAGATGTGACTTGAGAAAACTGTGGTTGAGAAAGAGGTGGAGTAATAATATCCGCATAAGCACTAAAAAGCTTGTTCAACTTTGTCTTCAAAAGTGAAATCATTTCTTGAAGTTTAGTTGGATCACTCTCAACCTCCCCATATAAATGCTCCAATGTTACAAGCTTTATCCTTGGATCAAAAATAGCTCCAAATGCAAGCACTAGACTATATTCACTCCAATATTTATCAAATTTGTCAAACATCTTTTTACACATTCCACTTATCAAGACATCTTCATTATCCAAGTTTTCTTTCAACATACTTTCAATCTTCCAAACTTGCATAAAATAAAGATTTGAGGTAGGATAGGAAGAACCGGAAATCAAATTTGTCACCTCATAAAATGGCTCAAGAAACTCACATATTTTCTCACCCCTTTTCCATTCTTCATTTGAAGGGCAAAATTTATACTGTCTATCATTCAATTGAAGAGAAGCAAATGCCCTTTTGTACTTGATAGCACTTTCCAACATTAAATATGTGGAGTTCCACCTAGTAACCACATCCAATCTCAAACCAATACTAGTATCAATGTTACCAACTGCACTTATACATTCTTCAAACTTCTGCATCCTACCCTCAGAACCTTTCACATATTTGACAGACTCTCTAATTTTATGCAAAGCTGGATTAACCACTTTCAACCCCTCTTGTACAATGAGATTTAATATATGGGCTGAACAACGAATGTGGAAAAACTCTCCATCACACAACAAACTATCATGAAAAGATAATTGCTCCTTTAAAATGTTTTGCATACTATCATTACTAGATGCATTGTCTAACGTCAAAGAGAACACCTTTCTTTCAATTCCTCAATCCTTCAAAAATTGAAATATTTTTGCAGCTAATTCACAACCTGTGTGTGGTGGAGGCATCTTAGCAAAGCAAAGTATCTTGCTATTCAATTTCCAATTCACATCAACAAAGTGCCCAGTTAAGCAAATATATCCCTCACTAGTGCATGCAGTCCATACATCAGAAGTTAAACAAATTCTATTTTTGATATTTGCCAACACTTGTTTAAGCTTCTCTTTTTCTTGAAAGTAGATCTTAGTAATGTCAGACACAAGTGTGTTTCTAGAGATACAAGGCACATCGGGATTCAAATACTTCTGCCATTTTCTAATACCATCATATTCAACAAATGAAAATGGTAAATCATGTTTGATGACTGCAGAAGCTAACAACTCCCTAGCAACATTTGGATCTACTTTCCTAGATTCAAGTTTGCCTTCATGATTAATAAACATTTGTCCAACATCATGAAACTTTAACATCCTACATGTTTCTTTGTGTCTCTTTAATGAAGAAGTTCCATGTATTTTCCCCCCAGCTTTAAATTCTTTTGAACAACCATTGCATTTTGCCCTTGGAATACCATCTTCACCAGTTGGAAACTTTTTAAAATAAATCCACACATCAGAGGTAAGTTGTTTAGACTTACCTTTCTTTGTAGAACTATCCATTCCTGGCATTCCATCAACATTATCATCGTCAATGGTATGAGTTGTTTGGTCCGCATTAGTTTGGTTCAAAGACATAGAATCCATCACGAATCACGAGCAATCTGAGTAGACGGAACAGTACACATAAAATCAGTAATTATATATTTATATACACATTGAATGGCTTAAATGCTTAATGCCTTAATACAATGTACCATTATCATTATAGTGATTTAGTGAATGACTTAATGATTATATATTAGTAAATTATCATTATCAATACAAATTACAATGTCTAAATTCTGTATTTCTTTTTAAAACTCTAAATTATTATTATATACATTATTATTTGTTATATACAGTACATATATTATATATAGTATAACAGTAATCAAAGCTTCAAAGGAATGAATGATTCATTAAGCATTTAAGCCATTCTTCATAAAAGGGAATGAAAATATACAGTAAATCAATAATCAAAGATTTAAACTTTATACAGTAAAAAAAAAAAAAAAGAAACAATGACTTTCTTTAAGACGAAGGAATAGAATAGAAGGGACTTAGACACATGCAATACATAAAGTTTGAATCAGTAAAGTTATTCAAGATTTCAAAGGGAATGAAAAAAATACCTGGAGACTAGAGTTTGCAGACCTGGACAGTGAAGACTGAAGACGGGCGTCGTTGGCAGTAGCTGAGCGCCTGAGCGGTGGACTCACGGTGGCGTCCGCCGCGTCGCCGATGACTCGTGGGCCGCCGGACGCTGGAGTCTCCGGTCTGGTCTTGGACACTCGCAGTGGAATCGCAAGTCGGCAAGTCTCCGGTCTGAATGTCTGATTCGCATTTCGCAGAAACGATTAGGGACCTAGGGTTTTTATTTTTAGATATTAGTAATATACTAACTAATATTAAATATTTAGAATTAAAATTAAAAAAATAATACTAGCGGGCTGGCTAGCCCGCCAGCCCGCCCTGCCAAGCCCGCGGGCTAGGCGGGGCGGGTAAAAAAGCCCGTTTTTAATACGGGATTCTAAACTACGAGCCCGGCCCGCCCTTTTGGCGGGACGGGGCGGGAAAGCCCGGCGGGCTAAGCCCATTTTGACGGCTCTACATATTAGGTGTTGATGCACAAATGATCGTGCATAATCTTCTTAAGAAACAGGAGTTGTGTCTAGCATTTGCTTTTGACTATGATATTAATGAAGATGAGCAACTGTGTAGGTTATTTTGGGCAGATCCAATCTCAAAAAAAGAATTATGCTGCATTTGGAGATGTTATCTCATTTGATGCTACATATTTAACCAATATGTATTAATTTATAGCTTTATTCTTTTCAATAGCTTCTGTATGTTTCATTAATTAACGCACCTTAAGCATTAAAAAAATGCACCTTAATCACTAAAACTATGCACCTTAACTTTTAAAAACAGACACTAAAGGCTTGACAGTGAATATTTAAATTAATGCACTTAAGCCTTCAAAAAACGCACCTTAAATACTAAAATCATGCACCTTAAGACTTGAAACTTCGCACCTTAATGTTTAAATGTACGCACATATAACTTTGCAGTATAAAATCTTAACTGTTTGAGTTTTTAAATTAACGCACACTCAGGTTTAAAAACACACACCTTAAGCACTAAAACAACGCACTTTAAGGTTCATATGTACACACTCAAATGTTTGAAGTAGAAAATCTTAACTTTGAAATTTAAGGCATCGTATATTCAAATTAACGCACCCTAAGCTTTATAAATACGCACCATAATCACTAAAACAACGCACCTTTAGATTCCAATGTGCGCATTTAAAGCTTTGAGGTTGAAAATCTTTAAGCCATTCAATATTCAAATTAACGCACCTTAAGCGTTACAACGACACACCCTAAAGTGTAACTTTATGCACCTTATGGTTTAGACATACTCATTGAGGGCTTGACATTGAATATATAAATTAACGCACCTTAAGCCTTGCAAACACACACCTTAAACATTTAAAGAATGCACCTTAAGGTTTAAATGTACGCATACTTTCCCATTTAATGTGCATCACATTGAATTACAACTGCCAAGCCATAGGTGCGCGCATTTAAAAATTAAGGTGCGTTAACTTACTACTTTAGGTGCGTAGTTTTAACACTTGTATACTGTGATGTCTTTTATGGCTTGTAGGTACAGTATGGTTTTTACACCTTTCACAGGATTTGATAACTATAAAAAAATGTATCACATTTGCTGTTGGACAATTGTTGAAAGAGGACATAGAGTCATATGTTTGGCTATTTGAAAACTTTGAAAAGGCAATGGGTTTTGAACCAAGGGTAATTGTTACTGATTAGGATCCGGAAATGAAAGTGGCAATTCCAAGAGTATTTAAGGAAACTAGGCATCGGTATTGCATGTGGCACATTATGTGCAAAGTTGGAGAAATGTTTGTCCTACATTGAGCAAGAATGAGGTGTTTAGGAAAAAACTGAACTCCATTGTGTGGACTTCTTATTTGGGGCCTGTTGATTTTGAGACACAATGGAAGCAACTCATGTAAGAGTTTGACTTAGTTGATCATAATTTGTTTATGCATATGTTTGAGTTAAGAAACTGTTGGATCCCAACTTATTTTAGAGATGTTTTTATGGGTGGTTTACTTGGGACACCATCGCATTCAAAAAGTGAGAACTAGGCATTAGTCATTTTACCAGCCCACAGTTTAACCTAGTTAAATTTATGATGAACTTTGACAGTGCTTTAGACTCGCAACGTCACATTAATGCAAAAAAACAACAGTGACAATGAAGGCAACATCCCAGAGTTGAAGACACCCCTGGCATTGGAAAAACATGCTTCAATTGTTTATACACTAACTGTTTTCTATCAAATTCATGCTGAGATATGTGCCTCCTGTTTCAGGGTGTTGAGTGTTAGAGAAGATGCTAGATTATTAAACTATGAGATTAAGGATGCAGGAAATAGAATATTTAGTGTGGTGCACAATGTGAATAAAGAAGAGGCTACATGTAGTTGTAAAATATTTGAGATGGTTGGACTATTGTGTAGGCACATTTTTGTGGGTTTTAAAGACTTAAACCTTGAAAAGATACCTTTGAGGTATGTGATTAATCGATGGACTAAGGATGCATCTTTAAAGTCTACATTTGAAATTGATGGTGTCATTTATGATCAATGTGGAAACAAGGATGAAAAATGTGTTGTTGAACAAATTGTGGGGTGATATTGATGTTATCACATATTTGCTTGTTATTATAGTTATTTTGAATCATCACAGTGATTAAGTTCTTTAATTTTGTCTATTTAATACATATTTTCCTTGCTATTATCATTTAATTATGGTTCACACTTGTTTTGAATGTTTTACGGTGTTTGTTAGTGTTTTTGAACCATTCTAGGTCAAAGATATGAGCAAGGGAAGTTCAAGGATGAGTTTTGAGCAATTTTGGACAAGTTCGGGACCCAGAGGACTCGACGCGTCGAGCCAAAGGCTCGACGCGTCGAAAATTTCCAGTAGCATCAGAAGTCGAGACCATCAGGTCTCGACGCGTCGAGCGACGCACGAAGGCATCAACTTGAATCAAAAAGGCGTTGGCTGCAAGATATCAAATTCAAAAGTCAAACTTCAATTTCAAATTAAAGAATGGCGCAAACTTCAATTCCAAATTTCCAATTCCAACTTTGATTTTATAATTAAATTCTTCCATTTTATTTATTTAAATATAGGAATTATAATTCGAGTCCAATTTTGTACAAGATTCCTATTTCATCTCAACTTTGTACCCACTATAAAATCCCTCCTTCCTCAACCCTAAACACACCGAGAGATTTTGAGAGTTCTTTGTAGACAAGAAAGAGAGAAATCGAGAGGCTCAAGTCGTCTTTGGAAGCAAGGAGGAAGCCAGGGAGATTTGGGAGAATCGCTTGGTTAATTCTTGTACTCTTCTGATGATTTGTAATCCTTTATTTATATTTGCTATGTATAATTTAGCCATGCTCGGCTAAATTCCTTAGGGATTTTTGGGTGAATTTGTTTATGAACCTATGTCCCTAGTTCGTTAATTTCTTAATATATTTATGTTTGGTTTTATGATTTGTGTTGCAATCTTGTTTTAATCTGTTGTTGTTGGTGGTTAAAGGCCTAAATTACTAGCTTCATAGCCATGTTTGTGTCACCAATGGGAATTGGGGCATAAATTAGGGCACACACGATTGCACCTAATGGTTGGTCCTTGGGAAAGGGGAACTTATTATGGGAAGTTTATTCTAGATTATTGCTCATCGGGAGATGGTAGTAATTAGGA